TTCAGGACAATGTTCAATAGAGCGTTAAAAATAAGCAAACGGACACGAATCAATTAATTGTACCAATTCACTGATTCGTCTGTCCATAAGTCCTGCATATATTGATAAAACTAACACTTGTTATGTTTCAAACAACACTGTTTGTATAGCTTATTGCACGAGGTTTGAAATAGGAAATCAATAAGAGGTAAGAAGTGCGTCCACGCTTATTACTAACCACCTAAGGGAAAGCCTTTGGCTTTCGTAATTAGCAATAGGCTATCACTAATTCACGCTTCATTGTCCTGTTGGTAAGTTTGTAGTTTTAAAATTAATTTATTAAAAAGCCCTTTTAATAAAATAAAGATTTAAAAAAATAAAAATTAATTTATTTAAGACTTCATGGTTCATCTTCTATACTAATATTATAAAGAGCTAAATTTGTAAGGTTCTATGTTTGTAAGTTTGTATGTAGGGGGTAATCTTTGGAACCGCTGGTCGGATTTCCAAAATTCTTTCACTGATAGATAGCTACAATGTTCCTGAGTGCTATAGGCTATAAACATCACGCTACGATTTGTAGGAGCCGAGCAACGGGAGAAACCGCGCGAGAGTAGCTAGTTTGAAATAATATTGTAGGTACTTAATGTTATACAACACTTTTAACCTAAGTCAGTAATAGTTCAATAATTTGTCTCACACTGATTGCACTTATAGCTGGTTAAACCGAAGATGGTTGATGTTCAAATTGCCACTTTTAGGATGTTAAGATTTCGGGCACTCTGTTATAGCAGCTGTACCCTGTGTATAGACCCCTCTTTAAGGAGTGGCAAGGAAGACTCCATGGCGTCCTCGCCTTCCGCCTTCCGCCTTGACTCAGGTGCTTATCGGAACCTGTTTCGGTGATCCGGCGGGAGGAAACACCCGGGTGTCGACATTGTGAGGACCACCCAGAGGACGGTGGCGGTGTGCCCAACTTGGGCTGAGAACCGCCGTGTCAGGGAAGTGATCAGCGGCAGCAAAATCTCGCGTCCGACCTTAGTCGAGGCCATGGTGCGGAGCGCGAGGAACTAGGAAGGTCTTCTCCTTTTGTTAAGCTGTGATGCTCGCAAGGGCGTGCTCAGGTGAAGCGCGTGAGTGCGACGAGAAGCTATCCTCCTCACGCCCCTCGAACAACGATCTCTGGCCACCGTAAGCGCGGGTCTGGGGTCGGCGGGCAAGGATAGATCGCCGCCTGGCCAGAACCAGGCCCAAATGTACGCCGGTGGGTAGCGTTCCGCGCTCGCCTCAAAGAACCAATAAATCACTACAGACGAGGCCTGTAAAGCTGATGTTTGGCCAGAGTTGCCGTTCTCGCGCAATAACGTACCGAGGCCCGGGCCTGGAGCAGGAGAAGGAACGGCGGGGAGGGGATTAGTCAGTAAAAGTCTGACCCTCCCTATCGTCAAACCTGCGGGAGAAGAAATTTGACGATTTTGCCTCCTCAAAAAATGGATATTAACATATTATAGCGAATGTTTATGGCAGAGTTACCTATGTAAGTGTTCACATTTTCCAATTAACACAACAACAGTATTCTCATTTTTAAGGTTATTGAGCAGGTACCCAGCTAAGATATTACTTATCTATCCTCGTATGATTGGTAGGTAGGTTATATTGGTAGGTATAGTATCTAAACATGGTATGTAATACCGTATCTACTAATAAAGGAAAATACTGGAGATCGAGTGTCACAGATATCGCCTTCATCTCAACATTACGTCGTTCACCACAGTGGCTAGTGTAACCAACACTCCTTAGAGACAAACACATGAATTGAACACTCGAGTTGTCTCGAATCACGTTGCAAATGTCTAGTACCTAGGCCATATCAGTGAATTGACTAAACCTGCATTTACCACAATGAGAAGATGGCATACAACTCGTAGAAGTGTGACAACGGTATAGCTTACACGTTTTGGTCATTGTCATGTTACAGGTTACATTGATACTTACCTACATGTCATGCATTGTTAGTCAATAAAAACTTGTTGTTTTCTTTTTCATACTCAAGCTGTTCGTCTCCAAGTTTTTTATTTGAAATTGTATTATATGTATATTGGTAACATCTTTTAAGGAATATAGGTACGTGGGTACCTACCTATGTAAGAGAGGTCAAATTTCCCCCCAAAGATCAGACTACGACTAATGCCAACGGTATTAAGTCTACCATGCACGGAATGATCCTTCTTATACTTATATTATAAATGTGAAAGTTTCTGAGAAAGAGAATGTATGGACACAGTAAAAATAGATATTATTACCTTGGTATGGATGTGTTGTGTTTGATATTCTTTCACGCAAAATATGTTTGACCTATTCGGTTGAATTTTGGTAAGTATCTAGATATAAGTATAGTACCCTAAATTAGCACATAGAATGTTTTTTATCAACATATCACGCGGGTGAAGCCGCGGATGGAAGCTAGAATAAGGCATAGAGCTTAAATAAATAAAAAAAAATGCCGGCTGATAAACTAACCGAAATGTAAAAAAGAGGCGATGAAATGAAAACGCTGTAAATAGAAATTGTACCTATCTACTTGTCACGGTATCATAATTATTATAGGAATACAAATTAAATCTCACAGTTATGATAAACAAGTACTTACATTAATCTGTATTAAATCATACTTCTTTGTCAAAGATTTTAAATCTACTTATTAAAATATGTGTGTTTAAAATTAGGATGGTTTTTTTTCTGTAAAGCAACGAATCGAGTTCAAGGTGTTATTTTAAAGTTCAGTGCACAATTTAGGTAGTTAATTTTGAATATCACAAAATATTTATTTACGTATATTTGTCTTAAGTCTGAACAATGTCCTTAACTACATAGATGCTACCAATCTACCTAGAGGTACCTATGTTAGTACAGTATCTTTTATGATCTATTCTGCTAATCAAAGAAGATCTTGTCTTCTTTGATCAGCACAACCATAATAAAGAATCCAAGAATTCCATGCAGAACAAGAGTTGAATCCGACAAGAACTGAACTAGGTAACTAACAACTTAATACAGTCTAGTTTTTTTTGGGGTTATCATACCTATTTACTCATCATGTGAAAAAGCGTGATAGCCATAATTCGAGTAGGCAAGGTATAAATGAATATTTAAAACGTAAGAGGTAATATTATTTCCACTCCACAAATGTTAGAATTGGGTATCGACTTAACCTTTATGACAACTGTTCTGACCTTATTGGACACTAGCTTTTGCCCGCCACTCCGTTCGCGTGGACGTAACTAACTGCAGATTTTTGGTATAAAAAAAATCCTATGTCGTACCTAGGCGTTGTTATGAATCTGTGTAAAACAACATCCTGCCTGCATTTATAAATAGCAAGTCAAATAACATTAGCTTTAGCACTTTGAACATTATTACGGAATAATTATTCTCGAAATGGTTTTATTGAACCTATTCCATCATGTTATTTTACGACTACTTACTTACCTACACCTTATTTTTTGCACCTTTCTCGCAAGCGTAGAGTAAGTACCTAACTGTATGCATTTTAATTGCAATCGGTGTTTAAATGAAGGTAATGTCTCAGAGATTAACATTTAAGAAGTACCTAACAGCAGTTAGGAGTAGAGTAGAGTAGTAAGATCTTACCTACTTGTTCTTGGAAGATACCTTGTTGCATTCAGCAAAGACTATGATGTGTGGGTCATTTTTGTTCGGACTTCATTCACAACAGCCATTAGCCATAGAGTATTGACATAAACTGGCATATTATTGAAAATAGGCATATCAAACTATCCGCCAATCAGGCTACCAGAGGCTGTACCAGAATTACTAAAATAAGAACTTGCATTTTCAACGTTTAACGACAATTCTTTCAATGTAGCAAGCATTAATAAATTCTCTTCAACATTAGAAGGTAGATATTTATTTAAAAGTGACGATGGGTCTGTCGTATATAAATGCATAGAAATAAGGTTTATCTATTAAATAAGGTTTTGTGTTTGGCAGTATCATCTGTTAAGTAAAAGCGGACTTCACGTATCTAAATTCCTATCCTGTTACCTAACTGTTGGAAAGTTATGCCCGTCTACTATCAGTCCGTTATGCCAGTCTAACTAATATCTATTAAAAGGATTAATATAAATACCTACTCAATAATTGGGTTTAACTAAAACATAGCCAAACAACTAAAATAAAAGTGATTAAAATATCTTTCCCTCCAAATCTCCAAAAGTTAAGTTTCTGCTAACTAGCTTCCTACTACATTTAAATAGTATCTAGGTACGTTCTTAAGCACTTACCTTCACCGCGGCATCGTCATGAAAAAGGAACATGATTATTAGTAGCAAATTTTTTCTTCGTAATGCTCATCTACTAGTAAAAAAACAGCTTATTTATGGCACTGACTGTACATGCATAGTGGGATCATTGAACTATTGATAGGTAGGCAACTAGATATAAAAACCTATTTGTAATAGGTGAAGTAGCGCCATCTTTCGAAATTATAGAGCAACACACAATTTCCTAGTAGTTCAACAAACTGCAGAGGTAACTATTGTAGAGGGCGCTAGGATGTCGGATGTGCATGTGCAAAAATTGTGATAATAATGTCAAGGCCAATGCTAAAATTAATAAATTTGTTTACTACATCTACATAAGTGGTTAAAATCAACGCTAAGTTTTAGGTGGGTTATGTAGTCAACGAAATAAGACATAGTAATTAAACAATTTGCCCTATATTTTCAAATACTAGTGTTGCTTCCGCGTCATAACCTCTTTGCAAATAATATCTATGGATCCGGAATTTGTACTAAATGTGAAGATAATTTACTAATATTTAAGGGTTTTCTTTTTGTAATTGACGTAAATTAATATTTTCTATGATATTAATGTATAAGAATCTAAAAATTATCCTTAGTATTCAATAATCGCTGCAAAAAGTGATCGCAAAATTTGAATTTGCCGCCATAAAGTGAGAAACGCATGAAGTTCGCGTTGCGAATCTGGCCGATTGATGTGAAAGATATTCCGAAGGCCGTGAGTGAACACGGAAATCGAGATGTGTGTGTGGTCAAAAAGACAGTGCAAGGTAGGGGTCGGGTGGCGTTTGTGATGGCAAAATTTTTGCAAATGGTGAGTTAGGAATTATTGACTTGTCGCGTCTCGGATTCGGTTTTGTTTTGTGATAGTGTGTTATTTGAGTGATTAGCGAAATATTTGGTGTTTATTGATATTAAAATTCTTAGATTCTGTGATACGGGATCGGCAAATGGCGCTACGAATAGCCAAAGTTGACACAACTACGCGTTTAGAAATCCCATACACCTTCGGTTGCCAATTTTTAGGCACGCGGCATGATCTGTGATAAACAACAAGTAGTGGTGCATCCTAATTTTCTTCATATCAGTCGTGTGGACCTAGCAACTGGGACATCCAGCTTGGCGATTATAACGGTGTCAGCATGTTGCGATTTTTTTGGCGAGCGGTACTACTTTTTTAAACTCGTTTATAGAGGCGGCTAGAGGTTTCCGCGTCCCGTAGGGTCGGTGGCCCCGCGATCTGGCTCCTGGAGCTAAATTACATAATGTATAGGTGTTGTTTGGAGCATGCAACAAGTAGATATGTGTCGGCGGGCTAACTGTCAATGTGGAGTACAGTAAGCTCGCTGCCCGCGGCCCCCATTAATTCGAGCCGCTGATGTCACTTATCTCTCCGCTCTCCTATCTAGGCCCTATGGCTGCCAATTTTTTGCACATAGTATCTTAATGTAAATTTGATAACCGGCGCACGTCTCTAATTACCACTTGTTTAAATACTAAGTGATGCAAATCTAGGTTCGTTTACAGCTACTGTTCGCGAATTTTTATTTTAGTTCTTCCATTGATATAACCTTGTAATTTTTATTTTGTGAATTTGGTACTTAGTTGTGTGTATGTATCAGTAATGTAGCACAACCACAGCATAGAGTGATATGATAATTATTTGCAGCACGGTCACTGACATTAGCACCAACAATGGACCAGCAATTCTGCTTGCGCTGGAACAACCACCCGAACAACCTGACTGATGTACTTGCAAGTCTGCTACAAAGAGAGGCTTTGTGCGATGTCACTCTGGCCTGCGATGGGGAAACTGTCAAGGTATTTTTAGATATATATCTACTGGCTTTCTATCATCAATCATAAATTAGGCTTTATGCTCTAAGTTCATTGTCTTCAATTGAAATTAGACATTCAGCCAAAACATTCATATATCTAGGTCATCATGGTAACAAATTGAAATGATTGAGCTTCTCTTTAGAAGCCACAGTCACATGATTCATTTGTTATTAAAAAGTTAAGTTATTACAATCTCCTTAGTAATGTTATGTCACAATGTAGGAAGTGTATGTAAATATTGATATTGTGTTTGTTGCACTCACATGTTGCATTAACAGTTTATTATTATGCCACAACAAAATGCATTAAATAGTAAACAAACATGAGTAATACACTCATGTGTTACCTATTGTTGACAATGCTTTTTGAATGATTTTACTTGCATCTACTGAACACTACTGTAAGAAATATTTGTTTACTTTACACACACCTTTTTCTTGAGCAATATGTTACCTATCTTAGAAGACATTTTCACCTTCCAGTCTTATTAAGAATGAGGATACATAGGCCACTGAACAGACACTATTTAGGTTTTTACTTAACTCGTGTAGTTTTTTTTTTTGTTGTATACTATATCATTATAATATTTAGATTATGCTAGTGTGTTAGGTATAATGGTATTTTTTATTTAGAATTTTTGCAAATGATTAATTAATTCCAAGGACAGCTATAAAAGTGTCTAATGCTATGTGCCTACATAACAGCTAGATAGAGGGAGATAACACACAAAATCTTGATTGTCATAACAGTCAAATTGCTACCTTAGGCCATCAAGTCAAGGTAGTCTTCATTGTAGATATTTAAATATTTGCTAATTTCACAAGGTTATTCTTTCATAGATTGCTTTTTAAGCCTGAATACCTATATTTTAAAATATAATTAGTCATGTGCCTGACTACCTAAAAACATTTTGTATGTTAAAACTATTGTTTTACATTTGACTGACAAAATTTATTTTTGACTACACTGTATAGAAATGTTAATTTATTAATGATGACCCTAACTAGATACTGAATTTTGTAGTCTATTTTCATAGTTGAGTTTAGCATTAGTTTGTTTCCTGTTAGAACATAAATTTATGTCTGCGAATTGCCCTTATATTTTTAGGATCAGATTTTACTAAGGTCAATAACACATATAGACTATCAACTTCCTTTATATGCCATTTAAATTTAAATTCAACAGTTAACTATGAAAGCTAAAGTTTTATGCTAATAAAATGCAATTTGTTTGGTAGGTTGAAAGGAGTCTGCAGAATATCTGCATGTTTTTTAACTTTCTAATTTTTATCTTAGTTGTTAAGCAAGTTTTAGGGTCTAGAATGTCTAGAGCTAGACAAGAATTAACAGTATATTGTCTGGTTAGCTAGCTCTGATATTTTTTTAAGAATGTCTATTCAAACAAACATTGGTACTATTTTAGACTAAACATATATTACGAATGTAAGTCACAAATGATACTACTAATCACATTTTTATAAGAACTGCAAAACGCGCCCTTGGAGCAATTAAAGGTTTTCTTAATGATTTGCATGTAATTTAGAATAAATTGCTTAGTATCGATTCTCTAAATCAAAACCGTCTAGAAGCATCTTTTAGCTCGTAATATTATCAATGTTTTTAAGTAATGTTATTTAAAGTAATTGTACAACAGTTGCAAAAATCATACCTACATCAGATTTGACCCAAACAACGAACGCTACTCGCGCGCCCTGATTTCCGTATCTAAATTAATTTGCGCGTCTTGATAAATGACTATCAAAATAATGTGACATTTTAAGGTGCTTGCGTTATACAAAGAATCCTTATCAGTTTGTTAAGTTTTATTTTTTAATATTCAATTGATTATTATAGGTATTTCTTTAATGGGAATGTATGTACTAAAACATTCGAGATTCACGTTACTTAAATCATCCAATGCGTGCTGACCGCTCCAATCTTGCTCCAACCCTTATCCCAATTTATTTTGGGTCAACGAGATAATTTTTCTCTTCCATCCATCTTTATCAAACGTAATCTGATCTACACGGCGTTTACTAGTTTATTAACCGTGTCATCTTTTGCATACGTTGCCCTCGTAAGTGACATTGTATCTAATACTTATCCACTTATTTTTATATTTGGAGAAACTCTTGTCACAATATTAAAGATGAAATAATTGTATGGGGTATCAAGTTTCTTCCCACCCGTTGGCACCACTGCAGTTTAAGGTCCTGTTAGCTGAAACAAATTACTGTCTAACGGGATTACATGTGCCGATAGTTGTAGATCTAATATTAATCCGTTCTAACTGGTTCTACCAAAATAATTTCCAGTGTTAAATGCAAAACACACATTTAGGAAAATATTCAGTGTTCAATATCCTAATTCAATATTTGTTAACATCTTCGCAACAATCCGACAGGAACAAAAAGTTTTTTACGTCGCACGCGACTGTTACGAGATTAGCGACATTTTATTACTTACACGCAAACAGACTCTTGGTTTTATTGAAATTAATTAGTATAGATAAGTTAAATTTGATTATCAAACTACATTATATTATATTATTTAAAATGTAAAAGCAATTGAAACTGGATGGTCGGTACGGCGGAGTTTTAGCAACGGGTTCCTTCAAACCTTTTTCGTACGGTTGCAACAGTAAATTTTACCGTTGTTTACTGGAAACAAAGTAGAATATACGTATATCTTCTGAAATCCAGCGCAATTTCTGTTAAAAGTTATAAATAAACGGTTGTTATGTATAATATTACGTTATTACAAAACCTGTTTCATATTAATGATTAAATAACTTAGTTTAATGACTAAGTAATTGAAAGACTTACATATCATTATCTTCGAAAGAAATTATCAACCGATATCGAAGTATCGATGTTGTTTTGAGTTCAAAAATCTTATTGTTACATTAAAACAAGTTTTTTATTTATTATAAACTTGAAGAATAATATTGTTCCGTGCGAGATAGCGGATTAAATAAGATTCAATGTGGCGTTAGTCTGCAGAAGATACGAGTAGTAAAGTTGCTACCTACATAGTCTAGCAAGATACCGCTATTGGCTTTATACAATCCTAGAGTTAATGTGTTACAAAATCACGATCTTAAACTGCATATGCTCGGTTAATTATCGCGAAAAATAATACACAAATGTAACGATAATATATTTCGGTAATATAAATATAGGACATACCGAATAGATCTGTCATACTTTTGTTATCTAGGACGATCGTAGTAGTCGCGAACATAAAATAAAGCTTAGAGAGAAAGTTTTATTTTTATGTCAAGTATAGTACCTACCTGCAAAAGGAAAGTCCGATACCATTCATACTTATCTGACCTGCCTCCTCTATGTTACAACTTCAATTATGAACCGAATTGATTACATATCTATCCACGATAACTGATTTGATAAAACTCATATTTCATTTTCATTCTACACTTAATACGATAATTATTTTGAATGAAAATATTAGTATGTACAATCTTACACGTTGATACTGGAAGACGAAACGTTATGATTATTAATACTTTAAATCGATTAGGGTATTATAGATAATAGGGCGATGTTTTAAGCTGCGTAGGCGTTAAGTGGCCAAATTTCCTAACATACCTAGATACGGATTAAAAAATGACGCAGTTCTTTATGTTGCAAATTTTTGTCGTTTTGATAGACACGTGGTTATACCTAGAAGCAACTAACGACAGGTGTTGTAGGATTATCGATCCTTCTTCAGCTTCAGGGCCATCTATGATTAGATAGATAATACTTTTCCCTTTAAAAACAGTCGATACTGGCGTTAGCCGTTTTGTAACTGTATTTCATTACAGTAACGTACGAGTAGTACCGGGTCCTTTTTTTGTAAAAGTAAATGTTCAAACGAGCCCCTCTCTGAGCTAATGGACTACATAATTATAAGAATTAGTTACTAAAATATACCCCGATCCAAAGGCCTTTCTTTATATCGAGGCCTCGGCTCAGGATATGATTTTCTCATGATTGTAAACGCATATATGACTTAATAAAATCCTGATACATGTGCTAATTATATAATTATAACTGTATTTATAAAAATAAATGTATATAGGTAGTTAATGACTACGATGTAAGTATCTCCATTCAACATGGAAGGGCAAGTATCGCAAATAACACCTAGTTATGAGAATATAACATGGTATTACCTTACAAAGGCCCCCTAGCATACACTGAAAGCCTTGTGTCTGAAAACCTAGTCCATGAAAAACGTTTACCACCTCATTGTAATAACAATAGGTCTGCCAAAATGGCAGTTATGCACTGTTTCTATATAATGCTAACAGAATCGTAAAGACCTTCACATAGCTCTGCATCATTTCTTTTGTTTAAATTACACGTGCTATTTTTAAAGCAAACTTGTGAAAATGTGTTTTTTTTTTCTATTGTTCCAGGCACACCAGACGATACTCTCCGCATGTTCCCCATATTTTGAAAGCATATTCCTACAGAACTCTCATCCACATCCGATAATATTCCTCAAAGATGTACGATTCTCAGAAATGAAATCTCTTTTGGATTTCATGTACAAGGTATTAATATGTATAAACTGTAATTCAATCACTTATAGTTTAATTCGTTTAATATCAAGATTTTTATTTTTATTAAATTTTGATTTTGTTATTCCAGGGTGAAGTGAATGTTGGCCAAAATATGCTACCGATGTTCCTAAAAACAGCTGAAAGTTTACAAGTTAGAGGTTTGACCGAAAATAATACATTGAATCCAAAGGTAAGAACTCATACACAGTTAAGGATTGTTGCGTAAATTACTTATTTTTCTACACTTGACATTTTTAAGTATGCTCCATGCCCATTTCAATAGATATGCTAACACTATCTTAATAAAACTCCAATAAATTATTTAGCCACTTAAAATGCGAAATTTTTAAGGAAGATCGGGATAAGCGAAGGTAAAATTACAGATCCGGTGTTTTTCTTTGCAATGATATTTCTCATTTGAATGTTATAGATTTCCATTTCTACTTAAAAGTCCCACGTGTGTAGATTATACGTTTTATTAGTTATCGCCTGTTAACCTTGAATTTTTGGTAAAACAACAGCTTAAAACACAAGTTACAAAGACTTCAAAATAGAAATGATAATTTCTGCACTATTAAGACTAATGTAGTGATAAACAACTTTAATTTCCTGCAGTCTAGAATTCAAGTATAACAAGAATGTTGAACGTGAATTTAAAACATAGTCCTAATTTAAAATTGAAGCGATGACGTCACGAAACCGTTATGCCCAACGATATAAAAAAGATATGCATCCATAAACGCATCAACTCGATAAAAACCGTTGGATTATGGACGCCGATGTGAGAGTTAGGTTTATAGGATTCGAGTCATGTAGAATACGAAATCGTATAATTTACTGTAATCTTAAAAAATAATCTCATGTATATTTTTGCTAGACAACGTTTTCGTTTTTTGAATCCAAATTAAATTGATTCTAGATTTTTTTGTATAATTAAACAATTGTGGCAAACGTTTATTGGAATACATTTTACACGATTTCTGTGTGTGTAAGAGTAGTCTTTGTACATTCTCAGTCGGAGGATCGGTCGACTCCGTCAGTGAGCGCGGAGAATCTTTCCCGATCTGAGTCGTTCGCCACGCCTCCGGCCGCGCATTGCGCGCCGCCAGCTCCTCACACACCACTGTCGGCGGCGCCACCCGCGCACCCGGCTCATCCCTCGCATGCAATCCCTCCGGAGAAGAGACGCAGAAAGAACTCTACGGTACCACGAGACGACGTCGACCATTCTTACAGGCACTACGAGGTGAGAAAGACTCTTTGAAAAAATATTTCTTTGGCGAATGGTGCTCTTATGTTACTGATTTAAATCACATTAATCAATTTTTACATAAAACAACAATGAGTTTTAAACATATTGCCAAACATGCTATGTATTTATTACATAGCATTTACATTGACAAGTTTTAACTGAACTCGTTGGTGTTGATTTATAAGGATTGGTTAGTCGATAGTAACGGTGCGTGTATGCAGGGACATGTAAAGTCGGCGAAATGCGGGTCAACGGGGTCGGGGTCGGAGCCTTCGACGCCGCCTCCGGCGCACACGCCGGCGCGGTCGGTGGCGCGGTCCCCGGCGCACACGCCGGCGCCGCACGTCAAGCAGGAGCCGGACTCGCCGTACCCGGCGCACGGCCCGCACGCCCCGCACGCTCCTCACGCCCCCGCTATCCACCCGCCGCCCCCTTTCGACCAGACGCACCTCCAGGTAAACATTTATATCATCTCGTCAAATGTCGACATCTCAAAAACTATTAAATATCGTTTTCATCCTGCTTTTACTAGTCAAGACTAGGAAATATTTTCCTACTTTTTACGAGGATGATCTTTTTCTTCTGTTATCTTAGTTATTTATCAACGATCCGCGGATCTGTGCCAACAGGAAGGAAGGGATCTGCCCAAATAAAAGATAATATCACAAGTTATAAAGCAGAGCCTTTCCTTCTTTGTTGGCAGAGTTCAGGCTGGGCTTGCGTGGCTGTCCCGGAAGAATCTAACCACCAGTATTTGGACCTAAGCATTAAACGGCCCGATAGCAACATTCTCGCTTCGATCCTCGCCCTCCCGCCCCAACAGATTACTACGTCTTCAAAATCATCACGACAATCTCCTGTCAATTCAAAAAAAACCGGGAAATTTCGTTTAAGTTGGTTAACTCTGTACCCATGGCTGCAATATGATAAATTTCAAAACATTATGTATTGTACTTACTGTAGGAGATGGTCACATGAGCTAACTGTAAATAGAACTTCTTTTGTAGAAGGCAACTCTAACTTTAGACTAGAAATTGTGAACCACCACGATAAATGTAAAGCTCACAAGTTTTGTCGCGATCGTGAACATTCTGCTAACGCAAATATGCTTCCTACACGGGAAACACCTGATAATTAGTTACAGAAAAATCTAGTAGGGGGTACATATTGGTAAAACTTCAATGGTTCTAGTTAGTTGCATATATAATAATCGAAAATTTAAAGAAATGTAACAGCACATTGGTCAATTAATACATTTCAAATATCATTAAAGTATTCCAACATATTTATAAAGTGATCTTAACTAATACTAAACTGGTTTAAATGTAGTATTATCAAGCTTTGGCGTAAAAGACTGATTAAACTTAATCTTACCAGTTAAACTGACCAGTCTTGATATATGAGTACTTAATCACAATATTGTGATAAATGAACATGCATTTTCAAAAGAATCTTGAATTTACTTTCATTATTATTATATAGATGTAATAATATAATACTTATCTTGTAAATAGTGTGTCAGACACAAACATTAAAAATTTTGAGTTAAAAAATTCAATTTTGTTTTATTATTTGCATATATTTTCGCCACACGGATCACCTGCTATCTTGAAAATATAACTAAAATAGTTTCTCACTAAAAGGCTTTCTTTACAGCTAAAATAATTACCCTTTAAAATCAAATATCACTTTTCTATTATATAATCTGCTTGCTGATTTTCCAGAGTATGGGAGTAACGGAAATGGCATCAATACTGACCCAGCAAAATCTTGGCAACGAGTGTAACGACAATGAGCCCATGTTACAACCACACCCAGACCAGACAGACACCATAGATGGTGAGTTATTTTCCAATACATTTGCCACTAAAAGAATTTTGAACAATATTAAACTATTACAACAGAATAAGATTATTTGAACATACTCCAGCTGCAAGTTAACTTATTTATGCTCATAATTTTATTAGTGGCCATGAAATTAAAATATTTGTCAGTTGTTTGTTCTAAAAATAATCTGTTATAAATTAATATAATTTTTATCACAAATTTAAAAAAGATGTGTAACAACTGACAAAATATCAATGTTGCCTGTGTATTAGATGTTTGAAGCTTTAACTTTTATTTTACCCATTTATTTCGCCTTTTATAAATGAATCAGAGATATTTAATCCATTCTAAACCTGGGTTGGGATCTCTGGACTATAAACCACTAATAATGCATGCTAACAACACCCTGCAGCATGTCACTCATTGTTGCTTACCATTCCATTGTCAATTAGCACTAACCATAGACGCTTTAATATTCTTTTTACTTAGTATGGTATGCTTTTAGACTTTTCTTTTTTACTTTGAAGAAAAAGGTGTCATAAGATTTCTGTTTTATAAAGATTTGGCGCCCCCGAGGGTTATAGGTCGTGCAATATTGACACTATTTCAATATCTAGTTAAGGCAAAATTAAGCTAATTATTGTCGTGAGAATAATGTATAATTATTTTATATTATAAGCAAATTATATATGGTGCATTCTAAAGGGAAAAGTTAGTTATTATATAAATTACGGGTTAGGAATGCATGTAAGAAAATTGAGGTGGAATGATTTTCGAACGGTTATGGAAAGAGTTTTTGCTTTACGAAGTCTCGTGTCAGTGAAAAACTTAAGCATGCCCACTAAATGAAACCCAAAGTGAAAATGTTACGTATCTTACAGGTGAAAATTGTGGCGTTGATGAAAATAAAATACCATGGGAACCATTTAGAAATAAATTAGCCAGTGTTGAAAATATTGTCAAATCATTTGGTTTGGCATTGACCAACAGACCGTTAAGTGTTCCCGAGTCTTGTAACATTTGCGGCAAACTAGTAAATAATCTTAAAAAACATATGAAGTCTCACAATCCCGAGCAACACAAGTGTCCCATGTGTCCTATAACGCTCACACGAGCTGATAACCTTAAGAGACACCTTCGCATGAAGCATTGTTCTATACTAAAATCTAATAATCTGTCTAATATACAGAAGAAATGCGAATTAAGTTAAGCTTTCTTAATCTAGGTAGTCAACTAAGAGTCAATGAATCTCATTGCCTAATTACGTCATGAAGAACAAGTACTTTTGTATTGCGGTCTAACGTGTGGATGGGTAGCTAACAGTTTGTGATCATAGTGTAACTGTAACACACTCAGGGCTTAACAAATAATTGTTAACATAACCTATCTTGCCTATTAATACACTAATAAACTACAATTTTAACACAATGCGCTTAATTGACATTTTGTAACTAGATTAAGGTGTGGTGTGTGTTTTTTCTTAAGTTCATTGTTTTCACATTGTTCAATTTAAGTTCATTATTTTAACATTGTTCAAAATATAATTTTATTTCAATCATACTAGTTATCTTATGAAGTTGTATATTAGCTTAAAATATTATTTTTGACAAAACACATTTCTTAGATGTGAAATGTCCAACATGAAATTAAAACTGCAATTGACATAAATCCAAAGTCGGAATGTGTAAAATATTTTCTCAGTGTTGAATGTCACTAAGAAATAGCAATTTTAGTAAATTAAACGACACAGTATCGCTGGGTCTTAATATGTTTTTTTTGCTCGTTAAACAACCTGGATTTTATGTATTGTGACAAAGTAGCATTGTGCTCAAACAACCTCATGTGTTAACAATGTATGTCTTTTTTATTTATTTCAGTAATTTTATAACATTAGTACCAAAGTGGCTTTGCTGTCGACGAGAATAAGGTTTTATGTAATTGATATTCTCAACTCAAATGATCAGCCTCTTTCAATAAATTTCTTATTCAAATTCGAAAAGTGCTTCGATGTCTGTTGAAGGTGCCGTTTGCGACCATCTTCATGAGCCGCGTGCTTGAGTTCTTGTTTGCACGCCGCCCTCGAGGCGCAAATGGCGCATTCGCTAGATGTAGATGCACAATGACATTACATTTTTCGAAGTTTACACATAAAATGGGAATATAAAATAATAAAATCTCAAAGATTATAGTAAAACTACACACTATCTGTGTCTAGTTTTGTGGTCTCGGTCATAAAAATAAAATATACAAAAGATTGCAGATCAATTGAGGTGCCCTATAAGTCAATTTTAATAACGAGTTTGTACAAACTTAATATGATCTCTTGTTGTTCCTTGTAGTATTATAAAACGACATCAGCTACAATTTTATTGCTGACGTCCAAGACTGACTTTTATGTGATTTAGGAACATACCTCTTAATTTATTTCCCATTTACTTCGATAAAATTCGTATGTAAGTCTATCGTTATTGTGTGTTTGTTGCAAATATATTCCTTTATTTATACCACTTTTCTTTTCATTTCATCCTCTATCCATGCTTTCTTTATATATAGCAGACCTATTTCTCTCTATAAATCGCCTTCTGCATTACAGGCTTGGTGACAGTAATTAACAAATTTTCATGCAAATGTAACACTGACAATAACAAACACCATTTCTTCAGTATCATTGATTCATTTATGCATGGATCTCCATTGAATATTACTATTTTGTTACAAATAAATAATTTCCAAAGTTTTATTTTCAACTTTATTCAATATTATTATTAACGCTTTTATACTACTTAGTCGGGTCATAAGTTCTGTCAAAACCTTATATTTTTAATTTTCGATTACTGGCCAGAAATTCTTCGACTTATTTTAAAAATAGAACTTTCGCGCTTGTAGAAAATAAAAAAGAAATTATTTTTTATTCATTTTTAAATATGGAGTGGTCGAATAAAGAAGACAGAATCGCGGTTATCGCGTTGCACCGCTGTGGTTACGCGCCAAAAGACATTTTCAATATTCTTCAAAATTTGAAAATAACGTTACGGTTTGTTTATCGTACTATCAAACGATACACCGAAGAGTCAAGCTTCGAAGATCGTAAGAGAAGCGGCCGACCTCGCACAGTTCGGACACATAAGGTCATCAAAGCAGTGAAGGCGCGAATCGAACGAAATCCCGTACGTAAACAAAAAATCCTAGCTCTGCAGATGGGGCTAAGCAGAACCACTGTTAAAAGAGTACTAAATGAAGACCTGGGACTACGAGCTTATCGTAAAAAGACAGGACATTTTTTGAACGAGCGTTTAAAAAAAATTAGGCTAGACAGATCCCGCGCTTTGCTACGACGGTACGCGGGAAAAAAATACCGCGAAATTCTTTTTTCGGATGAAAAAATTTTTACTATTGAAGAAAGTTTTAACAAACAAAATGATAAGGTGTATGCCCACAGCAGTGAAGAAGCAAGCGCGCGTATTGCGAGGGTCCAGCGTGGGCATTACCCTTCCTCATTCATGGTTTGGCTTGGAGTCTCATATTCAGGCGTAACTGAGGTGTTTTTCTGTGAAAAAGGTGTGAGAACTAGTGCCGAAGTTTATCAAAATACTGTCCTAACAAACATAGTGGAACCTCTTTCTCAGACAATGTTCAGGAACAGGCATTGGATATTCCAACAGGACTCTGCACCGGCTCATAAGGCACGAAGTACGCAAGACTGGTTGATCGCTCGTGGAATTGACTTCATCCGGCATGAAGACTGGCCCTCTTCTAGTCCAGATTTAAACCCACTGGACTACAAGATATGGCAATATTTGGAGGAAAAAGTCTGTGCTAAACCTCACCCGAATTTGGAGTCTCTCCGAGCATCTCTGGTTAAAGCAGCGGCAGACATAGATATGAATGTGGTGCGTGCAGCGATCGATGACTGGCCGCGTAGATTAAGGGCATGTGTTCAAAATGGGGGAGGGCATTTCGAATAATGTAAATAAAATTATATTGTACATTTAATGACCTTTCATTTCATATATAATTTTTAAATAATTGTCAAAAGGCGTATAAGTTATTACATCAAAAGTTTGTGACAGAACTTATGACCCGACTAAGTATAATAGTTCTAGGAAAGGCATAGTACAGCGTTAACAGTTACTATTAAGGCTTAAATAGTGCTAAAATATTGTAAACATTGTTTAATCGAATCTTGTTTTGCAAACTGTTTTAAATTTGATAATGATACCGTAAAAGATGATTATGAACCTCAGAAGAATCCGCATCACGTAACTAATGCCCCAGTACCGGTGGTCACTGAGTGGTGCACTGTAGACACGGTCCGGGGCTCGCGTGGCAGCTGGCACTGCGGCATTGGCCGTGGTTGGCGGGGCTGTAGAGGAGAGTGGATGACGCATGGCTGGTTGCAGGCTCGAAGGGCTGGCACATGCGGCTGACGTTCGAGCGCGTGGCGGGCGCGCTGAACCTGCACCGCTGCAAGCTGTGCGGCAAGGTGGTGACGCACATCCGCAACCACTACCACGTGCACTTCCCGGGCCGCTTCGAGTGTCCGCTGTGCCGCGCCACGTACACGCGCTCCGACAACCTGCGCACGCACTGCAAGTTCAAGCACCCCGCGTACAACCCCGACACGCGCAAGTTCGAGGCTCCCGCGCCGCCCGCGCCCGCGCCCGCGCACGCGCCGCTCTACGCCAACCCGCTGGACGCGGGCTTCGACTGATTGTCCATGTACTGGCTCGGCCTCGACGCTCTGTGAGCGCTAGCCCTCGCCAGCCTAGACTATGTCGTTGTTCATGTGTCAAAATTTTAACGGACCGTCTCGCGTCGAAACCGCTTCCTATTTAGGATTAAGCTGAAGTGCTATTACTTAAACGGGCCTTTCTTAATGTATGCCCGCACACGGCGGGCGACTCGTTTTAGTATCGTCTCGGTTGTGCGTTTGACTTGCCCCAGTGTGATCTTGTATAAGATTCCTCGTCTGGAATATACCTATGTCGATGTTACTGAAATAATGACTCGAAACGTATGTAGTAGGTAAGCAAATTTTTTTCTATACCAATCGCTATACGGGAACGGGCAAAAGCAATAATATGATGTTAATTTTACTATTACCATATTATTTTTTATATTGTATCGATAGGAACCTTAAGATATTAAGAATATACATTTATCGAGTAGCGGTGCGACCGCGAAGTGATGCTGGCTATTAGCGGTGGCCCAGATACGGGCCAACAGTTTCTTGTTATATTTATTCATTAGATAGGAAATTATGAGTTTCCTGTAGCTAATTATATTTATGTTATTGAATCCTGTGGGTGGTATGGAACGACATCAGAAGGATATTTGGGGACTGGCAAGAGATTGTGATTAGTCGTTGGTCAACGACGTATAAATATTGACTGAATCTCAGTGTAGATGCATTTGTAACTCTATGAGGCCTTTGCAAGATGGATAATTATTAAGGATTTGTGATGTATTAAAGGATAGCGCCTAAGGAAACATACGAAAAGATTTTTATACTAGACTAGTTGATCTATTTACGGAGATTGTTTTTTTATACTTAGATATATTCTATTGTCTGATTTAATATACTTTTATATTTATATAACTGCATATATAATATGATTTATTAGTGTTGTTTGTTTTTAATCGATTCATCATATAGTAACATTGATTTCGTTTATATTGTGTTGACGGTTAAAAGTAATCGAGTTGAGATGTTAACATGTTTTATTATTTTATCGTTGGTAGGTGTTTAGTTTGTGGTACCGGGCCGCGAGCCATGCCGGCCGGCCGTCGCCCACTCGTGTGATCGGTGCTTGGGGTCAAAGACCTCTTTCAATCAATTAATATAAGTTAGGATGGAACGTTTGGAGGTTGCGCATTTAGTAACTAATATTGGCATTCTACGATTGGGACTAACCTAGCGTTTATGTATGTATTTTTCAATTAAGATTTAAGATTGTTACATTTTTAGCTAAACACTTTAGAGTGGTACGGTAACTGAAATGTGATAAAAAGGAATGGTGCTAGAACCAAGAGTGTTAACACGCTACGATTCGACTCCTATTATAATATTATTAATGATTAGTTACTTTGCATTAAATGTAAGGCATCTAGCATCCAGTTGAGGTCGCATCTATCTGGTCAACGGGTAAATAATGCATGGATCGTTACACGCCTAGAGATTACAGTATCACTCGAGATTTTACCTTAATTTTTTCAGAGATCTTCAAGTTTTCTAGTACATAAATATATAATGAGTAATGATAAGACACCATTTACATAATATAATATGAATCTGATCCTTGCCTACCAAATATAATACGTTCATTGATGGAGTTAGGAATTTATCACATCCGAATAGTGAATCCATGATCGTTTCCCATAACTTTAGTTGTGGCGTTAGTGCTGTTGTGCTGTTTAGTAGCTGTGAACATGCAATTCCACTTGTGCAATTTTTTGAAAATAGTCATAACTTATAGCTAGATTATACAATTGACTATTGAATATAGGGGCCCACTCGATATATATATGTAAGCACGAAGCTCATGCGTCCCTGTATATAATTACGATAAAGTCACCAAACATTTCTTCCATAAAGATTTTATATTTACTTTAAGGATATCAAAGATTTTTATACCTACTGTTCTTAGTTATGTGGGCGCTTATTATTTGATAGCATTTCATACTCAGTGCAATATTACTAGTTATTTAATTACGTAACCAAACTAAATGATATTTTAAAAGTATATAATAAATATCATTGCAAGAGAGTAACTACCTATTTGTAATTACATAAGTGACTACTCCTAATTTCTATTTCTACTTAGTGAATCGCAGTTTGGGTTACGGTGATGTACAGGTTTTATAGCTGGTAATATTAATAATTAGCTTGTTTACCTCTGCCAATCGTAATAGTTGTGTACTGTTTAATAATTTATTGTCGCGCAAGATTAAGTCTATTGTTGAGATAGATCATAGCTATCCGTTACGGGTCCCATTGCCCAGCGAGTCGATGATCGTGCTGATCTCCCAATCTGCCCACGCGTTAAACGCTTCATCTAATCGTGAATGCATTTTTATATTACTATCACTCGAGACCAATTTTTAATATTGAATTTGCTATAGCAAATTGATTGATTAGTAACATAGAATATTATTTTAGATATTTTAGGTTAGGATACTATGATAGTGTCTGGCCAGAATATTTTGGAGAATCACACCGTTTGGCTCAGAAAATATCTACCTTTGATCTCTTTTCAGCTTTCAAAAAGTATGCAACTTAATAATTGTAATGGTGACCACATTCGGACTTAATGAAAGCTAACTTTATGCCATATGGAATTTTATACATAAGGTTAACGAATTACTAAATTTAGTCTTATGAAATTGAGGTCTTGTAGACCTAGTCACTTATTTGGCCAATCTATTGAATATTCCAATTTATTGTATATTAAAATTTACATTTGTATCACAAGGATGTGATCTTATCATTGAATCAATGGAGTGCAGGATGAGCTCTAACGTTATTTTCAGGATAGCAATGGTCTAGTTATGTTTATTTTGTTTCTTCTTTATAACATTAGCAAATTTGTTATAGTGTCGTATATCACAATAGTGTAATACTAATAGGGAGGGGGTGTCAAATCGTGTACCTCACAGCTGACGAATGATCTTGTTATATTATTACATGAAATTTTATGAACGATTTGTTGTTTATGAATATTTTGTTTGATGTCTTGGTTTGATGCCTCCGTTAAAAGTTTTTAATTTAAATAATTTTGTTTTATGCAAGCAGTTAATGCAATTTTTTTTCACATTGTTTGATGTTATGTAATGCAATTTTAACATGTTGCAAACTCCTGCATTTATCTGTTGTATTTATTACTAATTTTTACATTAAATTGTGGTATGTTACAAATCCGTGTAGTTTCAGTTGTGCGTTTCACATGCTCCACACCCACCTGCAAAATCTATTATTTAACTGTGCAAGTAATGAAAGCACGGCCAGATTTCCGTTGTGTACTCGAGCGGCGTTGTCGGGAGACGGCAGCGGCGGCGGCGGAGTGTAGCGGGTTGTTGTTGCAGAGCGCGGCGCGGGCGGGCCGGGCGCGGCGCCGTACTCGTACCACAGCATGTTCGTGGCCGTGGCCGACAGCGCGGCGCTGTGGCGCTGCAAGTCGTGCGGCAAGGAGGTGTCCAACCGCTGGCACCACTTCCACTCGCACACGGCGCAGCGCTCGCCGTGCCCGTACTGCCCGGCCACCTACAGCCGCATCGACACGCTGCGCTCGCATCTGCGCCACAAGCACGCCGCGCTGCTGCTCAAGCACTAAGCGCCGCTCGAACGCCGCACGAACGCCCCCCGACCCCTGCGACGCTCCCGACATCTGAGCTCGATATCTTTCTTTCTCGTTTAATGTGACTAGGTATAATTACATTGACGTGCTTCGTGCATGATTTCGAAGGTAATTATTATATTGAATGTGTTACGACGCTCGTTTTCGTGCGTTATATTTGAATCGTTCTGTATGGGTAAGGTATTGAATTTTGTTACAACTTATTTAACTAACAGGGTAAATTTAAACAGTAAGATACTGGAAAGGCTCTTATTGCTATCAAAAGATTTTAGGCTCAGTTTAGTTAGTCAATGGATATTAAGTTTTTGAAACTTGAAACATAATTGAAGCACCTTGTTTTTGTTATGTGTCGTACACGTGGAGCAAATGCAATTTTCAACAAGACACCCTTCTTTTTAACGACTGTCGTATTAGATAAATTCCACACCTTCAATGTAACAACATTAGTGTTTATAGTGCGTAGGTAAGTGTTTAAGGTGAAACATATTTATTTGCAAGTAACTATACATAATGGAATGAAGACTGAAAGGAAACAGCTTGTGATTGATTTTAAGATGGAGACGGTAAGGTCTGAATGTAAATAATTTGTAAATTGGTAAATATAATCGTCAAAGTTTTAGGTAGCAAAATATCTTGGAACTTAATGCGTGTTCAAAATTCAAATTAACGTTAAAACACGATCTTATACTTAGTAGTCGTATGTATTATAAATTATATTTTTGTATAAATATTGTCTGCGTTTATCGCATAACTTTAATTAAGGGTATTAGATGTTTACTCTCGACTTGCAAACATGGCAAGAATAATTGACATTCCATAATATCTAGGTGAATGAACGATGCGATAATATTCAACCCATCGAATTGGAACGCATTTGATAACTTGATCAGATTTTCTGACTTTTGGAATCTACTGATAAAAATATTATATTGTATTGATATTGTACGGAACTGCTTAACCCTCTAAAATATAATGATGTAAGTAGATAGTCCCCACGCTGAATGTTGTGACCTTTGGCTCATTTATTAGAAGAAAACTTAGTCCGATTGTTTCTGCAATCGGAAAGCTATTGTAAATGATTTCTCTTTATAGTTAAGTGTCCTGCATTGAGACATGTGAATTTAACACGTCGTTTACTTGTGTAAGTAAATATCTAGCTTTTAATGGTCCAATATATATTAGCATTCTAAATGTGTGTCATATTGTTGTTCGTACATAATGATATTTCATTGAATCTCATCTTTCAGTAATTCATTTTATCAGTATTATATATAAATTAGTATTGATAGATAGTCATTAATTGATGTCATAAGTCCCAATCTAAGAATGTAGGTTAGTTATTGTAGCATTGTGAAGTCATCTGTTATAAGTGCTTGGCTAGTCACACCCACTTTTCTAGTTAATAATTAATTTATTGTTGAAATGTGTTGTTCCTTTTTATTATTGTTTTATTATATAGTTTTAAATTTGGCTCGTTCTGATTGTGCAATTTTTTGCCGCTGCCGTAACCAATATAATGTTTTAGGGTTTTACAAGTAAAGTATTTTTGAACTCTACTTGTATAATTATAAAAATATTCACTTATTTAATGCTCTAAATAAAATACATCACTTCAAAACGGTGTTTCTTTTGGTCAGGTGTAAAAATACAACGAACAATATTCGGTAAATAAAATAGTTTTATTGCACAGTTCAATGATTATCATGTTAATGGCAACACATACAATAGGTGTGATTTATTTACACATTGCACAAATATCACTATGAGTATTCAACTATAAATACTTGTATAACCTACGATTAAATAACCTACTTGTGACTCTAAGTCTTCAATCTTAATACACATACTTACTCAATTACATTCAAACTGAATTAAACATGGCAACATATGGCAAGTTTAATTCTCTAATACTAATCATAATTTATGAATGAAGCATACATTGAAAATGGCCGCAACAACGTACAAAACAATCCGTATTCACTTACTACTTGCAGTACAATCAGTCGTAACTTACACTGGCTACATAGAGACTCAAAGTTAGCAAGAAATTCCATTTACTTATCACAGTTATTGTTTTACTTTACTCCCTCTTAGTAGTAATATTTTCGGAGGTTCCCTTTACAATTCCACTTACATTTTGTATTTTTTGGAAATATTATATTGTCTCTAACTTCAACGACTTCTTGTGTTATAAATGTGACACATTGTCTACAATATTAATTAATTAATTCATTGCACTAATTTACACAAATATCTGGAGTCGTCCCCGTTTGAGCTGATAGTCATTTAAAATGGGGCCAATGTGTTTCGAAACACTTACTGGAATGTCGGAGGGACGTATAGATAATTATTTACTTATAATAAATAAATTAGGTTTACTCTTGTAGCCTTTCGACTTTACCGCTTTCACCAGGAGAGTCTACAATGACACTGGCACCTGGACTAACTGAACTTCCGCCATCTTTACTAACTTCAGTGTCCTCTTTCTCTCTAGAATCCTCCTTCTCAGCTGAGCTTTCACCAGAGTCTTCCGATTCTTCTTCGTCTGAATCACTCTTTTCAGCAGCACTCTGCTTATTTTTGTTCTTTTTGAATTCTTCCTCCATTTCTTTGAATTTAAGGGTCAGGTATCTGTAACCAATGAATAAATTGCGTCAAGAATATTTTACCTTATATAAAGAGGAAATTACACTACACCTGTCAAAAGTAACTTTCTGAAACACTTTTATTAGGTTGCGGTTGGCTAAACAAAACGAAATGACATAGGCAAGTATGGGTTACCGGTAAGTTCACAATGTCTTGTTCATTCAGTAGGTAAACAGGGACCAGTTACACTGGTCTGCAACAAGTTCCTGATTAAAACTGGTAGGTTCAGAATTTTGTCAATCTGGTGGACAATGTTAAAACTGGCTGCAAATGTTACCTAGCCAAGATTGATGCTAAATTTTCGCTGCCAAATACCATAAACTAGCCATTCTATAATGACCAGTTAGTTAAACAGTTTAACTGAGTTCGAAAACCGAGTTGTTACCAGGAAATTGTCTATTGATGCCTAAATGCCATTGGTTGTTCAATACATGAATGGCTTATCAAGCTAGTTGTCTGCGAAAATATTTAATTTTATCCATCATAAGTAGTAAGGTTCCTACTTCGTTACTGAATCTGTCTAATGGCATCTGTAAATTGTTCCTACAAAAGTTGACTTAGTGTCCAAGCCAAGTTCGTGACGAGGCTCGCATTAGGTGGGGTAGCGGAAGAATGTGGATTCCCGTGACCCCACGCGCACGTGCGTGGAGACACCGGGGTGGTTTCAGCCGGTAAAAGTCCGGCATGCCCCTCCGCCTTTCACCGGGTGGAGAAAGTCCATGAGGACATACCCCCGTAAAAAAAGTGTTTAAGTTCAATCGCTCATGAAAAATTGTTCAGGTTGTACTCACTTATCAACCAGTGGTCCGCTATAATCCTCAGGGAACTTGGGCGAATGCGGCAGGATGTATTTGTATAAACTCTCGTTCAATACGTAAAGCTGAGTGGTGGTAGCGCAACGCACGTTGAACCACCAGTCGCAGGTGAGTCCCGCCTGGGAGAATATTGTCCCGTTCGGACACAGGAACGACGCTTGTCCACCATTCAGGTCACAGTAATGCCATACCTGTTGCAAAACATTCAATAATTAGGTCATAATAATTGATGTGGTACCTAATATAACCTTCGAGCGTACGGCATGTTGCATTCCGCTTGCGCCTCAAAGACTATTGGCTCTTTGCCACCAAAGACCCAGACATCATAGTAAACCGACAAATAAGAATAGTCTTACTTGTTTAACAGGATCACAGAAAACTGTTCATACCTACTCTAGTGACACAACGAGGTGTCTCTGGTTCAATTCCAGGGTCAAGCAAAGCATTAAAGGTAACAATATAAATAACCTATAATAGGCAGACCATATATTTATTACTAAATAGGTTTACGTATGCCTAACAAAAGTGATGAAAAAAAAATATCCCGACGAATGGAGAACCTCCTCCTCTTTTTGAAGTCGGTTAAAAAGAGGCAGTTGCACTTGTAATACCTATAAGTACGTGTTATCCCTGAAGTAGGGCAGAGTATGCTTACCTACAACGTCAAAGACTTGTAACCCATCAGTCGAATCAGACATGATTTTATGTTATTTACAAAACTTCAAACTACATCATCGTGTTCAAACTCCACGTTTGCATTTATTAGACCAGTCTTAAGTAACGTCCCGTAACGTGCTACATTTAGGTACCGACCTACCATGTAGCCAGTGACCATTTTGGGAGACATCCTTTAGCCAGGCAATTACCACAAATGCAATATGCATAGACAGACGCCGACAGTTGGCCGACCTACTTTCCCTTTGTAACACCAATTTTTTGCACATAAACATTCTTTTATATTGCAAGTTACCTGACAACGTGTCTCAGGATCTGCAAAGAAGCCTTTGTACCGCTGCGTCTTGCAGTCGAAGCTGGTGGTTGGGATCGTGGTAAGTATGGGGTAGTCAATGCCTGGCCTTCCTGGTGTACCTCCTTCATCGTCAGATGCCTGCTGCAATGGGAAATGCTGACTGCTTCCAACGCCAGGTGTTAACTCTGCAAATTTTTATGTATATTAGGTATGTTTAATAATATGTTATTTACCTTATAATAATATGGTATTGTAACATACCCAAAGATTTAAGTTATGTAGGTACCTACCTGGACAGCTTAAAAGTATTTATTTTCCATAAGATAAATTCCATTTTATCCATTAAACTTAAACTTACCATCAAGTTGTTGGGAAGGAGTATTCACGGGCGCAAGATATGGTTCTTCGGGAAATTCAGCTTCCGGTAATGTTGGCTGCTCAGGTTCTGGATCCGATTGAGCATCAACAGTAGGTGTTGATACTTTAACTTGTTCTGATGGCACAAATGGTTTGGGGGTGCTTAGAACCGGGACATCTCCATTGTTTGGTTGCGGTACGGCTTTCAAAACATTTAGCACTTGTAGTAAAGTCCTAATGGACGCACCCACATTTTCTTTTGTAATGGGCTTTGGAATAGATTTATTCAGTTGAAGTGAATTCAACAGAGACGCAAGTGGAGCTGTATTAGATGTTGATTGTGGAGGTTTGTATGTAGGGGCTTGGTCAACTACATACTGATAATAATGAGGCTTTATGTCTTCATGGTTCTCATTTTGCGGTGCCTGTAAACGTGCATCGTTGTATTTCTGATTTTCAAAATCGTGATCAATGTCAGGTACACTAGTTGTGAAAGTTGCAGGTTCCTTAGAATATTGTGGTGAGTTAAGTATTGGCTTGAACCCGCTTTGTACAATGGGTTGAGCTAGCAAGAGTTGTGGACGTTGTTTCTCATAATAACTTTCAGAAACAATCGATGGTTGCTTCCTGATAGTTTGCTGTTGAACATCAACGTTGTCGTAAACATAATGAGGTCTGGCCGGTCTTGGCTTCACATAAACATGCTCTTTAGGTATTAACACAGGAACTTGTTTTTTTGTTATGTCATAAACGTTCTCATTTTCGGGTACTTTAACGGGAGGAGTTTGTTCATAAGGAACCAATTTATATTTCGGTTTCTCCGACAAGTAATAGCGAACGTTGGGCGAATCTTCATTGTATAAATTAAGATAAGGTTTTCTGGTAGTCGGTACGAACGCTATGCCCTGGGATTTCGGTATTTGCTTGTGAACCAACCTGACGTTTTCATATTCATTGCGCAAAACTCCATTATTAAATTCCGACAATAAGGGATTGTAATTTGGAGATATTTTGCTGGAAGTGTGGTAAACAGGTACACCTCCTTTGTAATAGATTTTTGTTGGATTTGCAGACGCAATGTTGTGTTGAGTTAATCTGTTTCCTTGATATCTGGGAATGTTTCTATTCGGATAAAAAATTTTCTTCGGCTCTCGGTGATTGGCATGATTTATGCCACTAGCCTCGAGTATTTGTGCTTTTTCTACCTCAACGTCCTTTACATTATCCGTTACCGGTGCCGCCAAGTCATTGGCATAGTAGAATGTCATATAAGGTATCAACCTCCTGTATCTTTCGTTGATCGACAACTTCGTAGAGTTATTATTAGCTTGTGGTTTTTGCTTTTTACCACGGTTTGTTCTTACAGCAATTTCTTCTATTTTTGATTCCATTGGTACGAAATCTGGCTGCACGTCCATCGACATTCCTCCAACCATTTTGATTTCGGGACTGTTTCCATTTGGTGTGATTGTGATTGGTGCGACAAACGCAGGTATAACTGAAACAATGAAAACAAGTATATCATTCCCTTCGCAACGTGCTCATTAAAATAGTACTTATATTACATACCTACACTCGTAACACTTGAGTGCATGACCGTTTGAACAATTTCCCAAGCGCAAAAAGACAATGCCTACTTCGAGGTCAAAAAAGCTTTTCAACTTGACATTGTACCGAATATTGTAATACAGTCAGCGTTTACACTATGTACTAGTAATTACCTACCTATACTAATTGGTTGTAACTTTACCTTTAAAACACTAAATTGATTAAGTAGAAGGTAATTATTAAGACACGCTACATACTTATTTGCATTTCTATCTACTTAAGTGTACCTACTTATTGCATATGTTAACAATACAATATTGTAGGAATTAACCGACTGACATTTTAACACCTGTTAAGTTTGTTCTAAGATATTTGGTAATTAGGTATAGGTAAGTACATACTTATTGAAATGCGAAGGAATATTAATAAATACATAAGGAAAAAAACTACAGTTTGAAAATCTTTAGATCAAGGTACAACAATCATCTAAGTAGTTTTTGATAACACACAGTCTATGTGCTAAAAGCACCCTCACAGATTTTTTTATTTGATCATTAATTTTCTTACGTAATAAGCGTAGTCGGGCCCAATTATTTATTTGTAAACAAACGCCTATTTAATGCGTAATACATCGAAATACTTGACGCGCCCATCTTATCAGTTGCACATCGAAATCTCGAGACTCATCACAATCATGTTACGATTACGAAACAATCATCTAATTGCCTCTGCCCGTCATCATATTAATCAGTATCAAATTGACCTATTTGTTAGCATCGAGGCCTCTATTAAGTAACTGCCGATAGACTTATTATAATATCGAAACTCTACTTTCACTGACCAGAATCCTGTTGCGTTGGTAAGTGCTCAATAAATCTGTGGGTCTAACCTAGCTTCGTACTTACAAATACCAGCTGTGTGATGAAATTCGCTCTAGTTGTAACAATAGTGTTTTAGAAGATACATAGATATACATATTGTATGTATATTTATTTCCATACGTGGCATTCTAGTCGGTAGAGTACTATACCTACCTTTTTTATGTAATAGATCGGCAAACGAGCAGACGGATGGTAAGTAATCAGCACCGCCCGTGGACACCCGCAACGTAGTTGCCGACCTTTTAGGGATTAGGGATTTGGAGATTTAGGGATTGGCGGTGGGGAAGGATTGGGCCTCCGGTAACCTCACTCACACGGTGAAACACAACGTTATGGTTGTTTCACGCCGGTTTTCTGTACGGCCGTGGGTATCACTCCGGTCGAGCCGACCCATTCGTGCCGAAGCATGGCTTTCCCACACTTAAATTTATACCGAATTCAGCTACTTAGACATAAACCTATTAAGTATAACAAAACAATATTTTTGTCTTCTTTTTTTCAGACTTAATGAAAATAGGTAGTTATGTAAATGGTAAAGTAGGAACTTATGATACCTACTCTACACTCGCCCTAACCTCTATTAGCTTGGTAGCTATAACTATCTGTCCTTCGTGTTTTTACGTTGCTATTCATAATTGGATAATTTTCTACGGTTGTTTGGTGCCTCCTGTTTTTTAGTAACAACAATATTTTTTACCGTTAAGCGATTAAGAATCTCTCATCCGTTAAAAAATAAATTGCCCAAAGGAATTTCTTATTATAATAGCTAAGTATATAATACGATTTTTAGCTTAACTAACTTGTATGCAGCCTAGGCATAATATGCTAAAGATAAGTTCAAAATCCTACCATTTAGGTACTTATATCATCCATCATCTCATGGACTAGGTACTTATACCTCATATTTCCAATTGCGCAATATGTTTTGGTCTCTATGATAAATATTCGATTTCGCACGCACTTCTATACCTTCTTAATTTAAATCAAGTATACCAGTTGATGATACAATCTTCTTTAAATTAATTGCTATGATTACGTTACACGTACCAACGTAATCAATAGCAATGTTTATGGGCTATTAAATCACAGTCGAACATCTGATTCCATCTGTAGGAACCAATCTTACCCGACAGATGAATTGGTTTGATTGAGCACTGCACCGAAGCCACGCACAACGACGGTAATCGACAAACGTGACTACAGAAATCATTCTCAGTCACCGACACAATTGAAGGCAATTAATTTAATATCTACACGGTTCATTTTTCGTGTAAACCTGTTACATAGCAACATATGCTTTGAATACTGTGATCAGTAAAACATTGGTATAAATAGGTTCATTGGCCTGATTCAGTTAGGTACCTAGATTTTGTGCGATGATTATCTAATAGTTTAACACTGGAGTAATAGATAAGTAGGTAGGTACTGAGACAGGTCATCTTTATTATACTTAACCGAAATAAATTTGAAAATCAAGAAATTGTAACGTACATATGTAAACAATGCAATTGGGAATTCGAAAAGGCTAGTGTTATGTAGAATTTCGAAGTGTAGGTAGCTAATAGGTAAGCTTTAGCATTATATCTGCCATCTGAGTATATTCAAACTAATATTATAAATGCGAAAGTAGGTAACTCTGTCTATCTGTCTTTTCTTAACGCCTAAACTACTGATCCGATTTCTATGAAATTTGGTACTGACATAGTTTGGAACTCGAGAAAGTACATAGGATAGCTTTTATACCAAAAATCTGCAGGAAGTCACTATTCCACGCGAACGGAGTCGGAGTCGGAGTCCGTCGGAGACGGGCAAAAGCTAGTACCTACCTATACAATAAATTCTTACAAATATTTTACTAAGTATTAAAGTTGCATTATTGTAAGAGAACTTTACAGCCACCTATAAAGCTGTCGTAAACGTAATGAAATTGCCTAAATAAGTATAAAGTCGCAACAAAGGTAGCGTGGCACTCAGTGACACTATTCCTACATATTTATTAGACCTACGTCAGATTGTGTGCGTCAACAAAATAAATTGTCGGTAAGCATTTTAGAAAGGCAGGATCGTTCGTGTGTCGAATACGGGTAGAGCCTTGTGAAGTGACTGGCTCTGCACGCGGAGATCCGTATCCTGGCTGCAACGCACTAAAGATACCGTTAATTAAGCTGATTTATTCAACAAATTATTTTAATTAGTAGGTACTAGCCTCTGCGGTTTCTAATAATTTCTCTTCGATATTTAATGACCGTTTTTAATTTAAAGATATGAAGAGAAATTAAACTTTAATTATGATTACATATTAAATGTCTAACTGAAATTTTAATTGATCGCGCCTAACTTAAGTGTTAAAAAACAATCACGATCTGAGGACTTGCAAAGAACTAAGTAAATAGGTGCGAGAGTAAAACTCGCATCTTTTACAAAATTATTTGTTTCCAAGCTGAGCATATGTCATTAAGTAATTAGTTGTGCCTAACAAGGCAAGTCATAATGTATGTAGCTGTATTTGACTCCAGTAGGTAATAGACGCTTGTATCTTTAATGCATCTACTAAGCAGGTTTTCCAATTCACTTGCAGCTATTAAGTTTTCATTCGGTGGATTTACTAAACAGAGTAATTGAAATACCTTGACCTGTAGAGTCTTGCTGGCTTTCAGATCATTGATAAATAAGTAGACAAATTTAATAGAACTTCTATTGAACTTGTGACCCACGCACGTAACTACTACCAGCATTCAAGTGCACGAAAATGACCTTTCGCTGCGTGCACTTATGCAGTATTTATACTCCCAATGAATGTCAATAAATATCTCTTGGCTTCGGGAGGTTTTCTGGGGATGACTATGAAGTGGTGATCATGGCTTGTGTGAATTCACATTAATTAGGTATTTACCGACCTATCTCGAAGCTTATCTGTAGGGATACTTAAAAGTACATTACAAAGGGAGGGTTGACATTTAAATTAAGTATTCCACGGGTCATCCTCGACATATTATGTAGTACTCAATACCTAACACGAATACACATAACAATACGCTACTCGTCGTTGAATAACTGAAGTGGTAAACATTTCATCCATTATCATTATATTTGTTTAAAGTATGAAATGAAACCCAAAAGGAAAAGCCAGGAGAAATATATCTGAATGAACTAAAAATAATGTTCCGCAAAACTAATAAATCTAAATTTAGATGGACTGTGCAAAACACTAAAATATTAATTTCGCCACTTGATAGCAAAGTTAATTTAAAACCCTAACAGGATATTGATTTACATAGATAGATCGATACATTATATTGTTGCATAGGTACCTACCTATATATAGTACAGGACAATCAATCTTCGGCAGCCTGTCAATATCGCTGTTACATTTTATGAACGTGAGATAAAATTACTAGATCTATGATAATAAAGTCAATAATCAAATCTGCTTAGTCATACCAACGTGGATACTACGCAGGTAATTCACAAAAGTGAGTGTATTTTTGTTGTGTCGTGAATGGCTAAAGGGCAATCGGGTTAGTCAGTAACAACGAAGGTCATTATTATTATTATTACTCAATAAAAATTAACACGATCTTTTACTTCCTGTATATAAGTACCTATTAATTGATAAGTCTTTTCGATTTTTTTGCGGATTTTACCTTTAACAAGGTCAACACTTTTGACTGTAAGGACTATTCCAAATATAAAAATAGCTCAGACTATTTAAGAATAAAGTAAGATTAAATTTCTTCTCCTCAAATAATACCTTCTGATTTATTTAGTTGCGGGATCCAAGACAGTCATTCATGTCCCTGGGACTCCGGTCTTCAGTGTTCCGGCGTTTTCATGGTTGTATCTAGGTACTGTAGATTCTGGCTTACAGGAGTTGCTGTGGTTTTCACAGAATGCAGCGGGCGTGTCAGAAAAAGAAATTAAAATTTTTATCTTTAACAAATTACAAACTGGAATTCCGTTAGCATTCTATGCCAGTCGAACCTTTGAGTGATGCAAAGAGGAACCAACGATAGGCGCAAAAAGCATCAAAACCATGTCATTACCACTTGTAAGTACCTACTTAAGAATG